CGCAGATAGTTTTCGCCCCTCGGTGGAACTTGTCCGGTTCCCAGCCGCTTGAGCTCTGCCAGTGAAGGGACAGAAGGCGGGGTGAAAGCCATCCTCCGATGACCCTCCCCATGGGTCTCCAGTGGCCCAAGCCCTGCCGCTGCGGGGACGCGCCGATAGTTTTCACCCCTCGGCGAACTTGTCCACGGTTCCCAGCCCCTCGAACAGAAGGTGGGGTGAGAGCCATCCTCTGCGGACCCTCCACAGGGGTCTCCAGCAACTCACGCCTCGCCACCGTGGAGACAGAAGGATAGTGTTCACTCCTCAGCAGAACTTGTCTGCGGTTCCCAGCCGCTTGAACTCTCCTGGTGAAGGGACAGAAGGTGGGGTGAGAGCCAAACTCTGCGGACCCTCCCCAGGGGTATCCAGCGTCTCACGCCTCGCCGCTGCAGGAACTCATGAATAGTTTTCGCCCCTCGGCAGAACTTGTCCACGGTTCCCAGCCGCTTGAGCTCTGCCAGTGAAGGGACAGAGGTGGGGTGAGAGCCATCCTCTGCAGACCCTCCACAGGGGTCTCCATCATCCCACACCCCGCCACTGTGAGGACACGCTGATAGTTTTTGCCCCTCCGCGGAACTTGTCTGTGGTTCCCAGCCGCTAGAACTCTCCTGGACAGAAGGTGGGGTGAGAGCCATCCTCTGCGGACCCTCCCCAGAGGTCTCCCGCCACTGTGAGGACACGCTGATAGTTTTTGCCCCTCCGCGGAACTTGTCTGTGGTTCCCAGCCGCTAGAACTCTCCTGGTGAAGGGACAGAAGGTGGGGTGAGAGCCATCCTCTGCGGACCCTCCCCAGAGGTCTCCAGCGTCCCATGCCCCACTGACATGGGGACGCGTGGATAGTGTTCACCCCTCAGCAGATCTTGTCCGTGGTTCCCAGCTGCTTGAGCTCTGCCAGTGAAGGGACAGAAAGTGGGGTGAGAGCCATCCTCCGTGGACCCTCCCCGAGGATTTCCAGTGGCCCAAGACCCACCACCGGGGTGTGGAAAGCTTTCACCCCTCAGCGGAACTTGTCTCTGGCCCCCAGCTGCTTGAGCTCTGCTGGGGAAGGGGCGTAAGAGGGGGCTAGTGCCATCCTCTGTGGATCCTCCCCAGGGATCTGCAGCGGCTAAAGCTCCACTGGTGACAAATGGAAAAGGGACAGTCTTCACCCCTCAGTGGAGATTCTCAGTGGTCCCTGGTAGCTCAAGCACAGCTGATTTTAGCTCATAATCCATTCCCTGCATCTCTGATCCTCAATAAAGTGTCCAGATGAGAAAGAACCAGTGAAAGTTTACAGGAAACATGACGGACCAGAGAGAAAAGTCACCTCCAAAGCAAAATACTCATTTTCCATCATCTGACGCCAACTTACATGATATGAGTAAACTGACAGAGGAAGATTTCCGAATATGGATTGCTACAAAACTGAATGGAATTGAAGAGAAAATAGAATCACAACATAGAGAAACCATAAGAACAATACAAGAAATGAATGAAAGGTTCTCCAAAGAAATTCAGACTATCAAGATAAACCAAACAGAAATTCTGGCAATGAAGGAAATAATCAAGGATCTCCATAATTCAGTGGAAAGCCTAAAGAACAGGATGGACCATGCAGAAGAAAGAATCTCAGAACTTGAAAATTATGCCTATGCTCTAAACAAATCAGAGGAAGAAAGGGAACACAGAAACAAGAAACACGACCAAAGTTTACAGGAAGTGTGGGATTCTGTTAAAAAACCAAATATCAGATTGATTGGGATTCTGGAAGGGGGAAGAGGAACATTCTCAAGGGCTGGAAAACTTATTTCATGGAATACTGGAGGAAAATATGCCAGGCCTGGCCAGAAATCTTGATATCCAAATACAAGAAGCACACAGAACTCCTGGGAGACTCAATGTGAAAAGGCAATCACCTTGCCACGTGGTTTTTAGGCTGGCCAAAGTAAACGTGAAAGAAACAATTCTCTGTGCAGCGAGATGAAAGCAGCAAATGACCTATAAAGGTAAGCCTATCAGACTAACAGCTGACTTCTCATCTGAAACCTTACAAGCCAGGAGGGATTGGGTGCCTATCCTTAACCTTCTAAAACAGAACAAAGCCCAACTAGAATTCTTTATCTGGCAAAATAAAGTTTCATCTATGAGGGAGAAATAAAGTCCTTCTCAGACAAACAATCACTGAAGGAATTTGCAAAGACCAGATCATCCCTACAGTAAGTTCTTAGACCCGCATTTCTAACCAAACAAGGCAGGAGACACTCCTCAAAGTGAAATCGTCAAAGAATTAAAGTTTAGATCTCAAACTAAATGATGGCCCAAGGAGTAAGACAAAGCAACAACATTCCACCCAACAATATGAATGGTAATCTTCCTCCAGTGTCAATCCTCTCAATAAATGTAAACAGCTTAAACTGTCCTCTGAAGAGACATAGACCGGAAGAGTGGATAAAAATTCACAAGCCTAGCATCTGCTGTCTACAGGAAACACATCTAACCCACAAAGATGCCCACCAGCTGAAGGTCAAGGGTTGGAAAACTATCATCCAGTCAAATGGAAGTCAAAAAAAAAAGCTGGAGTAGCTATACTATTTGCAGATAATATAAGCTTTAAAATAGCAAAAGTAAAAAAGGATAAAGATGGCCATTATATAATGGTGAAAGGGAAGATCTAACAAGAAGATTTAACAATTCTTAATATCTACGCACCCAATACAGGAGCATCCAATTACTTAAAGCAAACCTTGTCTAATATAAACACCTTGTTACATAACACTACCATAGTAGCAGGGGACTTCAACACTCCATTGAATGATCTGGATAGAT